GACCGTCACATTATAACGCCCCCACGGCTGAAAGGGCGAGCATGTTTGGTGTGACGGGGATTCGAACCCGCGACCCGCAGATTGCGAGTCGAGTACCCTAACCACCTGGCCATGCCGGGCCCTCTCTGCATATTGAAGGGCAAATCAAGCTTATATTCTAATCTAAACTAACCAGAGCAACGGTAACTATCGCCTGTTTTAGGTCCTTTTGTTATTTTCTGACAGCTAACTGAAAGTAACTTTTACTTTGTATTACTTGATATGCACAGCATAGCGTTCAGTGTTCAAACCAATGAACCAATGTATGCAGATACTTAATTGCTGGAATGATGGCCCAGCCTCGGTATATTTAATTATTTGCTAAGAGCAATGTGGTTTTGAAGAGATGGTGTTGCAAAATGGACTTTCTCACTCGCAACATCTGGTAAATACATCATTGAAGTGCTAGCCATTTTGAAAGCTCATATTTCTTCTTTGTACAATGTTTCATATACACCTAGTAAAATCACAACCACATTCAAGTTTCGCTAAGTCTTAAGGTTCTACACACACATTCTTTACTCGCTTTAATATTCCATGAAAAAAACATCGAGTTAAAATACGCTTAATTAGTTTGCACTAGCATAAGTTATAATACATTGATAAATATATACTTTAGGCCTACTCCACCATTCTCTAGCTTAAGTATTATAGATTAATCGCGCTGATAGCTGCTAAATGGGTAATATTACGTTTACTTCAAACATTCATTAACGCCAGTATTTTAAAGTAATCACTCCTGATAACTGCTAAATGAGTAATATTACGTTTATTCCAACATTCTTTAACACAAGTATTTTAAAGTAATCACGCCTGATAACTGCTAAATGAGTAATTTACGTCTATTCCAACATTCTTTAACGCAAGTATTTTAAAGTGATCGCGCCTGATAACTGCTAAATGAGTAATATTACGTTTACTCCAACATTCTTTAACGCAAGTATTTTAAAGTAATCACGCTTGATAACTGCTAAATAAATAAGTGGTCTTGACTCTACATAACAGAGTCGCCAGAAGAGTCCAAGGTTGCTGCTATCAAAGAAAAGTTGGACATTTGGAATTTCCATTACCAAAAATATGCCGTACTTTATTGTAAGATGTTTCTTGAGGTGACATAGAAAATTAGAAACTGTCTAGACTGAGAAATTTAGCTTTTTAGAAGATTTGTATATAAGATTCTGCATCGTATCTGAAATAAACAAAATACATACTTAACATATGCACACACATAAGTGTTCACCTTAATTAGAAACAACCAAATTTTCTTAATAACTGTCAGTTTAAAAGTATATTACTCTAATGAAAAACAGCGATAGGTTTCTTTTGGATTAACACTCGAACTAAGAAACGTGTTTATATATATAATTACCAAACTCAGTTCGTCAGATAATCTGCTTGTTTTGATGGTATATTGTTTGCTATCACCTTCCAAGTCATTGAAAAGAGCTTTATCGATATACCTTTTGTTACCATTGCTTTTAGTTAGGAGATTATTGCTTGTAGGTGCAAGGGGCGTTTCTTTAGAGAAAAGATTGGGAAGGTTAAACAGATAGAACGACTGCATGTACTGAAGTGAATGTTTTGTGCGCTCAAATAGGATTTAACTCCAGATTTCCCGACAATGATTTATTTTAATGGTGAGTTTTTTGTTGTTTTTTTTATGTTCGTAAACGATGGACAATTTTCTTTAAAAAAGGAATATTTGATTAATATATTAATTTTGACGGTCAAGACATATTATTCCAAATTATTCCAGTGCCGTATGTATGTATGTATATACTGGAATAATATCTATGTATATCACTTGCAAAGACGTTGTGTTCCGTTAAATCGTTATTTAAAGAGTAAAAGTAATGACAAATACATTTAAATCAGTTCAGAAAATGTTGTCATATCTTTCAATGTGAAGCAGAAAGGTAAAGTTATATGACCTACTCCTACGGCGTTGTGTGTATTTGTTTGGTGACAACTTTCAGTGAACTACAACTTGAAGGAATATTAAAGTAATAAGCATTTATTGCTTACGAACAATAAAAAACTCTTATAAAACAGCTTTAAGCCTTTTATATATCCACGAATTAACCATTTCAAAGTTATCTATCGATACGATATTTTATTTCTATAGAAGGATAATACAAACCTAACGTTTTGTTTGTTGTTCAGAGAAACTTTTGTATAGTCGAGGCTAATCTAAAAAAATGTTGTTTGAAATATTTTACTTTTATAGTTTTGGATTATAAATCAGTTGTAAGGTCGGATTTACCAATAGAATAAATGATTGAACAACACTTATAATTTTCAGAAAACAATGAAATATTTTAAAGAATTACCATAAAAATGATTATAGAACAAAAGTACTAAATCAAACGATTAGCTTATATTCAAAGCATTACAATTTAGCAGTGCTATTAAACGAACCTAGATAATATTCCAAAACGTTTACTGTTGTTGAGGACTTGTACAGAACAAAGAACGCTACGGGGAAAACAAAGGCATATAATATAGCAAGAGTTTATCCCTGTTTTCTACAAGAATAGAAAAACATAATAAAATAATGATATTATTATGAAGTAATTGGACTATATATCTATGTGATCTCGGGAGGTTATTGATTACACATTTACTAGGTTATATGAGGACAGAATTAATAACTAATGCCGGCTACTTCTCTTTACATAATCTGTTTTTTTAGATAGTTTAATTATATGATAGGATAGTATTATTACATAGCCTGTTTCTTTAGGATACTGTTATTAAATAACCTGTTTCATTAGATAGTTTTATAATATAACCTGTTTCTTTATATGTTATTATTACATAACCCGTTTCTTTAGATAGTTTTATTATATAACCTGTTTCTTTAGAATACTGTTATTATATAACCTGTTTCTTTAGATAGTTTTATTATATAACCTGTTTCTTTATATGTTATTATTACATAACCCGTTTCTTTAGAATACTGTTATTAAATAACCTGTTTCTTTAGATAGTTTTGTTATATAACCTGTTTATTTAGATAGTTTTATTATATAACCTGTTTCTTTATATGTTATTATTACATAACCCGTTTCTTTAGATACTTTTATTATATAATCTGTTCCTTTAGGATATTATGCAACATGTTTCTTTAGAATAGTAACATTATATAACCGGCTTTTTTTAAGATATTATTATTATATAATATGCTTTTCTTATTATATGTTTATTATATAACCCGTTTCTTTAGGATATCATTATTGTATAATCTATTTCTTGAAGATGGATTTATTATATAACGTGTTTCTTTGATATAGTACCTATATATATAAAGCACACAAAAATATCTGTGCGTCTGACTTTTTGTCCGTTATCTAACTACTCCTACGTCGCTGGGCCAATATCAACGAATCTTTGCGGGATGATAGTTTGAAACAGGGGTTATTTTGATGGAGGGTTCACAACCCCTCCACCCCAATATTACTGTTATTGAGCATTTATTATCTTTGCCGTAAGTTAACGTTAACTACATTCATAAATTGCGTCACGTCCTTACACGGAAAGAAATATTCAATTTTCTATAACACATCATATACACAGTGTGGGGAGAGGGAACACAGACTTCTTATATATCTAACAGAATGCGCCAGTACTCTCTATGAGGAATACAATGAAAATAAATGGCCACCGCTATTGCAGTAATACATAAACTCAGTTGAAGTTTCTACTCCAACAGCCACCATAAGGCTTATATGAAGAACCAGCTTCTTACTTTGACCCGTGACCTTTCAACTTCGACTCGTAAGACACTTCTGTGACCAATAACTGTCTATTAATTAATCACGTAAAACACTGTGGAAGGACATTAAGAGCTGAGTGTTGAAAGCGGGTAACAAAAATCACCTCTATCACCATTATTTTTTCCTACAAAGTCACCCTGACCATCACACAGTGTATACCATACCATGTTTTTAAGTATATATATATATATATATATATATATTGAGTTCTTAAAGCTTATACAGAACTTTTGGTGAGGTAATAATGAATACTGTAATAATCTGTTATGTTATAAATAAATTGTGTGAAAGTTAGATTTTTTGTATTGTTTATCATAGCATCCACCCACACATTTTTAATGTTCATAACCTGAACAAAGAATGGGTACCTCAGCTTTTTATTATATAACTTGTTTCTTGACGGTGGCATTATTGGATAGCTTGGTTTTTCTAGTATAGTATTGTTATATCTCCTATTTCTTGAAGGTGAAATTATTATATCTTTAATTACAAATAATGATATGTCTCAGTATAAAACTTTTGTTACGTTTTAACTATTTTTGGTTACTAATAATAATAAAGTTTAGTTATTTATTCATTTACAACTATTTAACAAAATTAATAGTTTCGATTTAAGTTTACAAGTAAGTAAGATTTGTTTTTAGAACAGGTACGATCATTCTTAAGTACACAAGTTTTAAGAGTAAAAAACGTTTTATTATTTAATTCAACACTAAACAATGTATTTAAATTCTAGAATTGATAGTGATTAATTATGCATGTGCTTATCACTTCGTGTGAATTGACAGATTATATATTTGTGCGTAGAAAGAAAAAACAACTAAAAGTGAATAAATATAAGAAACTGTGGAAGATTCTCTGCAAAATATTTTTATAAGATTAGTCTGGGGAAGTAACGGTTAAAGACATAAAGAGATGTGCCTGGGTATTTGTTCATTAATAAAGCTTCTCTGGTTTTTCTTTTGTTAATGTCAGGTTCATGTTTTAGTGCTGTTCAGAAAAATTGTATATTCTTATCCATATTTTTTATATTTCTCTGTTCAGCCATAAATAAATAATCTTTTTATTCGCGCAAATTGATAATCATAACCAATCACTATCAATTCTAGAATTTAAATACATTGTTGAATGTTGATTTAAATATCAAAACGTTCTTTACCATTAAAACTTGTGTACATGAGAATGATCACACCAGTGATTGAAACGTCTTACATGTTCTAAAAAATATAATATATTTAACGTAATGTTTAGTTTGTCTAGGATATACTGTTATAATATGTCAAGTTTCACTACATGTTTATATTACAACATGTATAAGTTTCACTACGTGTTTATATTATAAGGCGTACAAATTTCGCTAAATGTTTATATTGTAACATGTATAAGTTTCACTACATGTTTGTATTATAACATGTCACAATTTAGTTATCTCTTGATATTGGTCCCCAATGGGTTAACGGTGGATTACTTACTTAAAACGATAAAATCGTGTTTCTATATCCACGGTTAGCAGAACCCAATATGTAACTCTTTATCTAACAACAACAAATAAATTGTTTATATTATTTGACTTCGTTATACGTGCGTTACGATATCCTATCCAGAGGTGTAACTTGGTGTGTTTAGGTGGAAAATGAAAATAACTAACAAATACATCCTGGTGTTATGACAGATAACAAAACGCACTTATAATAAATACATTCTTGTATTATAACAGATAACAAAACGTACTTATAATAAATACATCCTGGTATTATAACAGATAACAAAACGTACTTATAATAAATACATTCTGGTATTATAACAGATAACAAAACGCACTTATGATATATACATTTTGGTATTATAACAGATAACTAAACCGTACTTATGATACGTACATTCTGGTATTATAACAGATAAGAAAATCGTACTTATAATAAATACATTCTGGTATCATAACAGATAAGCAAACAGTACTTATAATAAATACATTCTGGTATTATAACAGATAACTAAACCGTACTTATGATACGTACATTCTGGTATCATAACAGATAAGAAAATCGTACTTATAATAAATACAATCCTGGTATCATAACAGATAAGCAAACAGTACTTATAATAAATACATTCTGGTATCATAACAGATAAGCAAACAGTACTTATAATAAATACATTCTGGTATCATAACAGATAAGCAAACAGTACTTATAATAAATACATTCTGGTATCATAACAGATAAGCAAACCTTATAATAAATACATTCTGG